CCCAGTACAGGGAATGACAGCAGCATCATATTGACAATGGCGGGAGAAGTGGACACACAAGTGATCGGGCCTTCCGACACCAATATGTATTTGGGAAGAGCGTTGTCCTTGATTAGTCCCCGCGATGCTGAGCTTCACCACCGCTGACAGAAGGCATGGGTCAAGGTTGGCACAGTGAAGCAGGATTTGAAAGACGAGCCCGTTCTTGTCAATCACCGATTGGTGATCCAGTCAATCGTTGCACCCGCCGCGCTGTACGGATGCGGCAGCTGGGCGATGACAGGTGAGTGCGATTCAAAGTTGAACGTCGCACAGAAAACTGGGCAGGTGCTGCCCCACCTGGGAGAGATCGAGACATGGGTGATCTGAGTTCAGCGCGTGACAGTTGAAATACGACAGCTAATGGACAAGCTCAATCAGACCTGGTTGGAGTGGGGAGCGCTGTTCCTGATTCTAACGTTGGAGCCAAACACGGAGGAATCTCGTTATCGTTCGCTCATTCATTGTTTTGCCGATCGGCGCGGGCCTTCGCACCCCCTCACCCCCATGGAGCAGATCCTGGTTTTTTGTGGCGCTTGCCTCAAGCAGGTGGGGTCTCCGAGCCTCCTCCATACGACGCATTTGTGCAGCCAGTCGCATTGAGCAGAGACCCAGAGCCAGACGCCCCCCCCTTCCGCCCAACGTCGAGACACCGAACAAGAAAACGTTCGCGTGAGCATCGAGCGCTGGGCACGAAAGGTACAAAGCTGGGATCCTGACGGGCGCAAGGCCCGCAGACGCCCACTGGCGAGATGGGCCGATCAAGCTCCGCGGAGCCCCTAGGGTTCGCAGCCGCGCGACCGCGCGCCCGCACGGCGCGCACTCGGCGTCCTGATCTGTCATGGTCTGTGTTCGTTTTCGAGAGCAGCCTCCTCCCCCTCCTCCCCCTCCCCCTCCCCCTCCTCCTCCTCCTCCTCCTCCTCCTCCTCCTCCTCCTCCTCCTCCTCCTCCCCTCCTCATCCTCGTCCTCCTCGTCCTCCTCCTCCTCCTCCTCCTCCTCCTCCTCCTCCTCCCCCCCCTCCTCCTCCTCCTCCTCCTCCCCCTCCGTGGCGACCCCCTCGCCTCGCTCCAAAGCGCAGGCAGGCGGCCGGAGCGGTGGTTGTCGGGGGCGAAGGCCCCGTCGCGGAAGAGGGGCTCGCCACGGCAAGGGCCTGCCGGGCCGTGCCAGAGAGGGGGGCGAGGGGCGGCAGTCTTGCTCGGCCTCGCGGGAGCGGCTGCTCTCGGCACCGATGACCTCGACGAGGAGGAGGGCGAGGAGGACCAGACAGCACCACGGCAAGGGCTGGGCCCGTGCCAGAGAGGGGGGGCGAGGGGCGGCAGTCTTGCTCGGCCTGGCGGGAGCGGCTGCCTCGGCACCGATGACCTCGAGGAGGAGGAGGGCGAGGTGGACCAGACAGCGCCACGCGCGTGCCCACCCCGATCCTGGCCGGGCCCCTCCTGGTGCCGGGAGCTGCTCGCGTGCCCGTAAGGTACTGCCCTGGGCCAGGACGTGCGCGCACCGCTCCCCGGTGGCCCGGGAGGGGCCTGGCCAGGGCCGCTGTGGGCCCAGACACCTGGCCGCTCCAATCTTTGGGATGCGTGGATCAGTATCGTTTAACCGACCCCCACCCCCATCCCCATTTTGGCCTCCTGGGGGCCTCTCGGGGGCCTCTTGGCGCCATCTTGGGGCCATCCTGGGACCTCTTGGGGCCTCTTGGAGCATCTTGGGTGCCTCTGGGGGGTCTCTTGGGGCCTCTTGGGGGTCTCTTGGGGGCCTCCTGGGGGCCTCTTGGGGGCCTCTTGGGGCCATCTTGGGGCCATCTTGGGACCTCTTGGGGCCTCCTGGGCGCTTCTTGGGGCCATCTTGGAGCAGATCGATCCAAAAAGAGGGGAGCATTAATGAGCGTCCCCCCCCTGGAGGCAAAACTGGGGCTAAACCCCTAATTAGTACAACCAATGATGTTGGCTTCCTCGCCGAGGCCGTTTTGGCATTCTCGCCGTGGCCTCTTGGAGCATCTTGGGTGCCTCTGGGGGGTCTCTTGGGGCCTCTTGGGGGTCCCTTGGGGGCCCTCTGGGGGCTTCTTGGGGGCCTCTTGGGGCCATCTTGGGGCCATCTTGGGACCTCTTGGGGCCTCCTGGGCGCTTCTTGGGGCCATCTTTGAGGAGATCGATCCAAAAAGAGGGGAGCATGAATGAGCGTCCCCCCCCCTGGAGGCCAACATGGGGCCAAAACCGTAATTAGTACAACCAATGATGTTGGCTTCCTCTCCGAGGCCGTTTTGGCATTCTCGCCGAGGCCTCTTGGAGCATCTTGGGTGCCTCTGGGGGGTCTCTTGGGGCCTCTTGGGGGTCTCTTGGGGGCCTCCTGGGGGCCTCTTGGGGGCCTCTTGGGGCCATCTTGGGGCCATCTTGGGACCTCTTGGGGCCTCCTGGGCGCTTCTTGGGGCCATCTTGGAGCAGATCGATCCAAAAAGAGGGGAGCATTAATGAGCGTCCCCCCCCCTGGAGGTAAAAATGGGGCTAAACCCTTAATTAGGACAGCCAATGATGTTGGCTTCCTTGCCGAGGCCGTTTTGGCATTCTCGCCGTGGCCTCTTGGAGCATCTCGGGTGCCTCTGGGGGGTCTCTTGGGGCCTCTTGGGGGTCCCTTGGGGACCCTCTGGGGGCTTCTTGGGGGCCTCTTGGGGCCATCTTGGGGCCATCTTGGGACCTCTTGGGGCCTCCTGGGCGCTTCTTGGGGCCATCTTGGAGGAGATCGATCACAGGAGGGGGGGGGGTAACTTAGCGTCCCCCCCCAAGAGGCCAAAATGGGGCCAAAAATCAATGGTTTAGGCTTCCTCTCCGAGGCCGTTTTGGGTTCTCCGACGACTCGCGACACCCCCCGTCCAGGTCCATGGGGAGGGGGTAATTAGGAGGAGGGGTCAAGACCCCCTCCCCGCCCGCAAGCCGTCTCGCTCACTCCCACCCGCCCTCCCGACACATACGTAGCACCCGAGTCTGGCCCGAGCCTCAGCATATTCAGCAGTCGTCTTTGGATGGGTAGCTACTGGGGGTCAATCCGCCGCCGCCACCGCCGCCGCCTCCGCCGCCGCCGCCGCCGCTGTCGCCGCCGCCGCCGCCCGCCGCCGCCGCCGCCACGCCGCCGCCGCCGCAGCCGCCGCCGCCTGCCGCCGCCGCCGCAGCCGCCGCCGCCGCCCCCCCCGCCGCAGCCGCTGCCGCCACCGCCGCCGCCGCCGCCGCCGCCGCCCCCCGCTGCCAAACCGCCTCCGCAGCCGCTGCCGTCACCGCCACCGCCGCCTCCGTGCCGCCGTGCCGCCGCCGCCGCAGCCGCCGCAGCCGCCGCCGCCGCCGCCGCCGCCGCAGCCGCCGCAACCGCCGCCGCCGCCGCCGCCAAGTGTACTCTGTACTGTTTTTTGACAAGGATGGTGGGTGGGGGCCGCATCGGTTTGGCTGCGCATGTTCCGCATTTGGAGGCAGAGTGTGTGTTGTATTGTTCCTTAACAAGGAATGGTGGGGGGGGGTGTTGTCATGGACCCTGGTTGGCCCCCAGTCTCGCCTGGGGGAGGGGGTGTGTATTAATAGGGAACAGTGATAAACCCCTCCCCGAAGGGGAAGAACGAGGGGTGGAAGAGGAAACGCCCGAAACCACCGACGCCCAGAGGGCTGGTGGGATATCCCCCCCAAAGCTGGGGATGCACCCCTCGAAACCATAGGGGAACGACCTATATCCCCATCTAGGGGGGTAGATCGGCCAGTGGGGCCCAAGCCACGCCGCTGGGGATAGGGAATCGGTTCAACGATATTCATTGGCACGAGGATGAATCCAGGCCCCAGAAGAAATAGCAAACACGCATGACTCGTCGGCGAACGCCTCCCCCTTCCCCCCGGTGTTAAAACTTGGCGGTGGGTCTGATGAGTTGCACTTCGACCGCAGTCTCCTCCGCGCGTGCCAACTTTGACTTTGGGAGACTGGGGGAGTGTCCACTAACTGTTTCTCCCTGCCCTCGCTCCAGAGCCCACAGAACCCTGGAGCGCCCTGGAAGCATCCCACGACGCTCTGGAGCGACCGCGGCCGCCCGCCAGCCGCGGGGGAGCCCCGCGGGGCAAGTGCCCGAAGGCCCGGAAGGCCCGGAAGCCCCCCCGGCTTTCTGACACGTCCCTCAGATGATGATGATGATGATGATGATGATGATGATGATGATGATGATGATGATGATGATGATGATGATGATGATGATGATGATGGTGGTGGTGATGCTGATGCTGATGCTGATGCTGATGCTGATGCTGATGCTGATGCTGATGCTGATGCTGATGCTGATGCTGATGCTGATGCTGATGATACTGATGGATGATGATGATGATGATGATGATGATGATGATGACGATGATGATGATGAAGATGCTGATGATGATGATGATGATGATGATGATGATGATGATGATGATGATGATGATGATGATGATGATGATGATGATGATGATGATGGTGATGATGATGATGATGATGATGATGATGATGATTATGCTGTTGTTGCTGATTATGATGATGAGGTCGCAGAAGGCCGGAGGGCTTCTGAGACGTCCCGCCGCCTTCTGGCCTTCTCCTTCTCACCTCCCCCCCTCGCTCGCCGCCGAGCCAGGCCTCGGAGATTCCGGGTCTCTCTCCGTCCGAAGTGGTCCTCATCTTGCCCCCGCCTTGGGAGGAGGGAGGAGGAGGAGGAGGAGGAGGAGGAGGAGGAGGCGGAGCAGGAGGAGCAGGAGGAGCAGGAGGGAGGAGGAGGAGGAGAAGGAGGAGGAGGAGGAGGAGGAGGGAGGAAGAGCAGGATGAGGCGCAGGAGGAGGAGAGGAGGAGGAGGAGGAGGAGGAGAGGAGGAGCAGCAGGATCGAGGAGGAGGATCGAGGAGGAGGAAGGTCGAGGAGAGAGTAGGAGGGAGGAGGGAAGAGGAGCCGCAAGGAGGGATCCCCGCGCCCCCCCGCAGGAGTGGCAGCGCGCCTCCATAGCTAACACGCAGGCTCGCGGCGACCCTCCCCTCCTTTCCTCCCCCTCCTCGTTCCCCTTCTTCCTCTCCTCCCCCTCCTTTTCCGCCCTCCCCCTCCCCCTCTCCCCTCCTCCCCATTCTCCCCCTCCTCCCTCCTCCCCTTCCTCCCCGTCCTCCCCTCCTCCCCATCCCCTTCTCCCCTTCCTCCCCCCTTGATCTCCATCCCCTCTCCCCTTCCTCCTGGCCCCCCCTCCCCCGTCCTTCCTCTCCCATCCTCTCCCACTTGCCCTCCCGCGCCCTCCTCCCCCTCCCTCCTCCCCCTCCCGCGTCCCCATCCCCCCTCCTCACAAGGCCCATTTGATCCGATCAATCCGATTCGATGCTGTTTCCAGCCAGCTCGATCCGATTCCGATCTTCCGACGACCCGATACGACGGGATGTTTGAATTGGCGTTGCCGTGCATCCTGGAGCAGCCGACTCGTTTCGATTTCGGCTTCGCGCCGATACGGCTGGATCCGAGGCACGCCCGGATTCGAATCGATGTCTCTATGCACGTGATCCGTCTGGGGTTGCTTCGGCGGTTTGTGGCCGCAGCCGTGCTTGGAGCTCACCGTGCCCCACGGTGGGGCGAGGGGCGTTTTGCCTCAAGGCCGCAACGTGGGGCTCTGCCTTCCAGGCGGCGTTGGCATCAGAAGCTACGCTACAGTCGGGGCCCTGAAGAAGGAACCTTTTTCGTTGGGGAGGGGCTCGGTGTTCCTCGATTGGTTTGCAGTTTCCCTTAGGTTTTCCATGGGGAATCGAAGCTTAACTTAGGGGAAAAAGGGGCCTCGTTCCTTACTTAGGGTTCCTTAGGTCAAGACCCTCACTGTACTGGATGTCTCCAGTCGGTGCTGCCCCGTCTCTCCTGGGCCCCGGGCCGCAGCCTCCATTGGGCACCGAGAGGCACCGCGGTGCGCCCGGGCCCGGCGTGCCTGCCGTGCCCGCTATTCGCCCGGGGTCGGAGGGCCGCGCCGCAGCGGCGGCTGCGGCTCGGCGGGGGGCCCGGTCTTCGGCACGCCCTGCGCCGCCGAGGCGTTGCCGCCGTCGCCGAGGCATCGCCAGTGGAGCTTCGGGTTGGCCCAGAATCGGGGGCGGAAGAGAGGGGGGTGATGACTAGGGGGGGGTGGATATCATGGCGGGGGGCATGAGATTTCACCAGATTCCATGGCGCCTCTTCTTGCTTCATTGCGTCCCCGGCCATCCCGCTGGGCCGCGCACATGCCGCCGGTCATGATTTGCACACCCCCCTCTTGGACACCCCCCTCTTGGCCGCTCCCGAATTGCCGCCGTCGCCGACGCATCGCCAGTGTAGCTTCGGGTGGGCCCAAGAGGGTGTCCAGCAAGAGGGGGTGGTGCAGCAGATGTGGGGCAACAGATGTGCGGGGATTCCATAGATCTGAGGTGTACAATGCGCTCCGGGGCGCAAATGTGTGGTTGGATTGTCGCGTGCAACGCATTCGTTGCAAGACAACGCAATTCGGAAGCTTGGCGAGGGCTGGCAAGTCCGTGGCTGCTAAAGCGGTTTTCCCAGAAGAACGAAACAACTTCCCGGAATATCACCCAGCTCGCTAAATAGAAAACGGGCTGCTTCCCGGAGGAAAAAGAAAATTTCCCGGAGCTCCGTTTTAGCAGCCACGGGTGTGCCAGCCCTCGCTTGGTTTCTGAGCAATAAAACTATCTGGAACAATACATTTGCAATACAATCGCCCCAGACGTATTGCACCACCCCCTTTCAGCTGAACCCCCTTTTGGCTCAACCAAAGAGCTGCAATTCATTGGCGATGCGGCCTGATCGTTCGACACCATTTGCTCTGACCACATCAGGGAGGCCTCCATGCAAGTTCGCTGCTGCACGGTTTGGGCGTGTTTCTCCTCGCGTCGTACAAAACAACTCCTCGCGTCGTAAAGAACAAAGACTTAATACTCTATTCATGATCGGCCTCGGGGCGTTCTTGCAGAGCCTTGGGAGCGTGAGCGAGGCTACCCTGGATGAAGGAGCGTTTCTGGGAAAAGGATCTGACCTCTGCCCATGGAGAGTTACGTCTTGAAACAAACAATACAATTGACTAAAGGACGTCTGATGTCTGGACGCCTGGTGATATCCAGAGATCTCCGTGGGCCAGAGACCCCCGTGATTGTCGGGACCTCATGCGACTCATCTAGTTTCTTGGGAGGTTAGAATTACCTGCTGCGCTGGTGCACCAAGGGCAACAACAAAAAACACTCTGGCACACTGTCAGTCAATTCAGCTCGATCCTGTGCAATCAGACTTAATCCCATGCATATTTGGCCGAGTTTAGGATTATGGCTTCTACATCGGGCTTGCTAGCCCTTACTCGTTCTTTCGAAGACCTCCCAGGAGTTGATTCCTCCTCTAGTTGCTGCTGCTGCTGCTCCTCCTCATCCCTCGTTCTGTTCTTCCGCCTCCATCCTGCTGCTGGCTCGCCTGGTCCTCCTCCTCCTCCTCCTCGTCCTCCTCCTCCTCCTCCTGGCTAGCATTCAAGCATTAGATTGACATGCTGCACATTACCCCCAAGCGCAGAGTCCACAGTCCAGAGTCCTCCTCATCCTCCTGGCTAGCATTCAAGCATTCCATTGACATGCTGCACGTTACCCCCAAGCGCAGAGTCCATAGTCCAGAGTCCTCCTCTTCCTCCGCATCCTTCCTCGTCCAACTCCTGCGCCTCCGCCCCTTTCTCTTGCTATGTATGTACAATTATGTACAGAACCGTTCGTGTCCTGCCAGCTAAAATATATGCTGCCAGACATTCTCGAAGACACCTACTGCGAATCACCGCCGCCCCCTGCCTCGTGGAAGCGGCCATGCGGCCAAACGTTGGGCCTCGGTCTGTCCAAGCTATTGGACTATGTGCTCCCCTAGCCGTTGTGGAATCCCTTGGGGGAACTTTTGGGAGAGGAAGAAGGAGGAGGAGCAGAGGGAGGAATCAGGAGGAGGAGGAGGAGGAGGAAGAAGAGAAGGCCTCTGGAGGCCCTCTCCGGGCCTCATGAGGGCTTTCTGGGAGCATGGGTTTCTGAGGAGCCTTCGGGGGGTCCTGCCGGGGCCTCTCGGGGGCCTCGGGGGCCTCTCAGGAATCTCTCGTGGCCTCCCGAGGCCGTCCTGGGGCCTTCTCTGGGCAGTCGTGGGTCATTCCTTGGGCGCTTCAGGACCTTCTTGGGGACGTCTCGGGGGCCTCTTGGGCTATCTTGGGGCAGTCTTAGGCTGTCTTGTTGGCCTCTTGGGCTGTCTTGGGGCGATATTGGGGGCCACGGGTCCGTCCTGGAGCGTCCGAAGCCCTAGAACGCTAAACTTTACCAGCCTCGAACGTATCCCTATCCCTAAGATTGACACGCCAAAAGGCGATGACAATATTAGGGATTCGCCCTCAAAAAATAAGGGAATCCCTAAGATTGGCAACGTGATGAGGAGGTGCCCAGCATAGGGGTAGGGATATGTTCCAGGCTGGTAAAAACTCATTGAACAATCTAGGAGACATACATGATTCTGGCCCAGTGGAGGTCCTAGGCCTCTTGAGGGCCCCCTGGGGGCCTCTGGGGCCGTATTCGGCTCATCTTGGCCCGTTCTGGGGTGCAGCTCGGGCCGCCTTGGAGAGACATCTTGGAGCCATCTTGGGCTCTCTGGGGGCCACCTTCGCCGTCCTGGGGGCCCCTCGGGGGCCCTCTTGGAGGCCTTCTTGGGCCGTCCTGGAGGCGTCAGCGGCCTCGCCTCCCGGAGTCCGCCGCGGCTCTCCGGGTGGGCGGCGCGATCGGGCGAGGCCCCGCCAGGAGTTCCTCAAGAGAGCCGAAAGCATCGGAAGCCTGGCGCGGCGTGAACCAGGGCTGGGCCTGAGCGGTGTTTTGGTGATTTCGTGGGCCGTGTTCGTCTCGACTTCGTTTTGCGGCCAAGGCGGATTCGAGACAAGAGCGAGGGAAAACAAACACAATATGTCACCACCCGCCAAGCCACCCCAACCCAACCCGAAGGCTCAGAGTTCCCCTCGATTTCCAGTGGGGGGGGGGGTCGGGAACATCGACAAAAACACATGTGGAACCCTTACCCCTCCAACCCGAAATTCGGGTCTTCGGGTCGGGTTGGGGTGGTCTGGTAGGTAGTCAATATGGAAACGAAGAAAAACACCGTTTAGGTTCAGCCCTGTCGTTTCGCGGGCCGTTCGTGGGCTGTTTTCGTTTCGACCTCGTTTTGCGGCAAAGGCGAACTCGAGACAAGAGCGAGGGAGAACGAACACAATATTGAAACGAACGAAAAGCACCGCTCAGGTTCCGCCCTGGCGTGAGCCCCTGCGGCAAGCCACAGAGGAGGCGGCGGATGACGGAGCGCGCGCTCAGCGTGCGCTCCGTCGGAGAAGCGGAAGCCGGCGGAGGTTGGACGGGGCCGGCGTGTGGGGTCCAGGGGATCGAAGGGCCAACGCTGCGCTTTCGCCGGGGGCATCTTCAAACAACTTACCAGCCTGGAGCATATCCCTATCCCTATGCTGGGCATCTCCTTATCACGATGCCAATCTTAGGGGTTCCCTTATTTTTGAGGGCGGATCCCTAAAGATTGACATCGCCTTTTGGCGTGCCAATCTTAGGGATAGGGATACGTTCGAGGCTGGCAAACATTGCGCTTTCGCTGGGGACATCTTCGAACAACTCAGACGTCTTGCGATCGCTCTTGGAGGGCCTCAAGACGGCCCAGCATGGCCCAACAGGATTGCTCTAACACGCCCTACGTCCGCCCAGAATGGTGATTTCGCTGACCGTTAAGGACGTCCTCACACACATGAGATGTGGCCGACGTCGCTCTTGCCCACATGGTGTTTTCTGTAGGGACATCCTCACACAAACGAGATGTTGCTGACGTTGTTTTGGTCTCGGTCTTGCCCAAAATGACGATCTCGCTAGGAACATCTCCAACAAGTAACACGTTGACGACAACGTCGTGGTATCGCTTATGGAATGCCGCAAAACTGTCCATCACAGGCCAACAGGACGGA